TTTCTGTCCCTCATCTGGGGTCAGTGGAGTGAGCCCTCAGGGCCTGGCCCTACCAGTCAGGGTCTGCAGTCTCAGGTTACCTGCAGCCCTGAGTGGGGTTGGAGGCAGCACTCACCTGACTTGGGCAGCATGGCACCTTGGCTAGGGTTCAGGCCCACTTGGTTTGCCAGCTGTTGCATCTTCTGGGTGCCTTCTGGAAACAGCTCAGGGGTGCGGGCTGAGGACAGGGAGGACAGGTGAGTGCAGAGGAGCAAGGCCACGAGGGGGTGGGGCCGGGTGGGGACTGGACCCTCTGCCACAGACATGGGGGACCCAGGGTCACAAGGAGACACACTGAGAGACAGGTTCTGCCTGCCAGGAGGGAGAACACACTGGGTGGTGCATGTGGACAAGACTCAGGACCAGACCCTGGGCACGGCTCCCAGAAAAAGGAACCGGGGGTGACCAGGGGGCTGGCAGGAGCACCAGCCCTAATGCTTGCCCACCAAAGAGCTGCAGCCAGATGTTCCGCACGCCTGCCTTCTCCGTCTCAAAGTACATAATGGTGAAGTGCTTGTAGTCAGTGAAGGGTATGCGGATGTCGGTCTGGGCCATCGCTGAGAGTGAAAGGGGAGTAGCTGACCTGGGCCCAGGATGCCCTGCCCCTGAAAGCCCCACCTCAGGAAGCTCCATCCCCTGGAAGTCCCCCTCTGCTCCAAGGTGCCAACTGGCAGCCTGCAGTCAGGTCCCTTTCCTCCATTGCCCTGCCTGCTGCCCACCTGTGCCCTCCCTTACCTGGGTTGCTAAACTGCCCATTCACAGCACCCTTGATGAAGATCGTGTCTATCTTCTGACACCCACCATCAGGCCTGGAGAGAAGGAGCACCCTTGTAGAGCTCAGGCCCCAGGCCTACCTTGCTCTCCCAGGCAGCACCAGCCCTGCTGGGTGTCTTGAGGGTGCTACTTGTGCTCACCCTCACAACAATCCTTAGAGGACACGAGTGCTTTATGACTGCCTTTTGGGGGAGGAAAGTAAGTCCTGCTGGACTAGGAGGGTACCAAGTGCTTGCTTAGAGCACACGTGGGGTACAGGTCTCCAGGCTTCCCCTACATATAACATACACACGCAGAGATACGCAAATGCTGTTCACTCAACACCCAGGCCTCGGGTAGGGCTGTCAGTGTGGCCTGGGTCCCTCTAGGGAGCAGGTCAGCATGGCTCTTATTTGGGTCTCCATAGCCTAGGCTGTCTGGAGCCTGTGGTCTGTCTCCCTGGTGTGTCAGGGACACCTCTGGTTCCTGTTGGCTTTCATCTGGTCACACTGGCCCTTTTCTGAGGCCGAATCCAAGATGAGGTGCATGGGGTGACTTACGTGGGGTACCCAAACTTGACACCCAGGTTGCCATTGTCCAGTAGGGTCACTAAGACCACAGGCATCTTCATGTCATCTTTGGAGTCCTGGAAGCCCTGGTCATCTGACACAGCCCCAACTATGTACCAGGTGCCCTGGAACTGCAGGACAAAGCGGGAGGGCTGGGAGGTGGCCCCCCGTGTGCTGGGCCTGAGCTTATCGCATCCTGTTGGGATACAGTTGCTTCTCTGCCAGGGCCCAGTGCCAAGGCCTCTGCACCAGGAGCACCCTGACCCAATACTGGGGACGGCAGGCTCTGGGTGGTGGTTGGCACAAAGCAAAGTCTGGGGGCAGCCCACCCACACTCCTCTCTGGTTGAATGGGGCAAGTGGGTGGGGGTCTTTCTTGAGGCCCCAGCCCGCACTGGGCTGGATCACAGAGTATGGGCAGGAGCCTGGGATGGAGAAGCAAGCAAGACAGGGTAGTGTGTGGGGAAGGGGGGGCGCACCTGGCTGATATCCAAGTTGTCCTGGATAGGGACCTCTGCCCAACCAGGGGACACCCTGAGAAGGGCAAGGAATGAGCTGCTGACCAGCAAAGCCTGCAGCATCGTGGGGGATCCTCAGGTCACTAGAGCAGGGCAAGAGAGCTGGGGTGGCCTCTTCCAACTGGCCTTTATACCTCTCTGATGCCCTGAGGTGGCTGGCTGCCGGCCTGGGGCACAGCCCACTGTGATAGGCTTCTTATCAAGTTGCACCTGGTCCAGCTGCTTCCGCCCAACCCCACCCCACCTGCCCCTGTTTCCTGTGGGAGGGGCTGGGATCCTGGCAGCTGAGAGCAAGTGTTCCTGGCAGTCTGTGGGCCAGGGTCTGCCTGAAAGCCCACCCACATTCTTCTCTGGCATTCTGAAGCCCCTTTGGGTTGTCAGTTTAGGTACAACCTAGGCCCCCTCCTCCAGGAAGACCACTCAGAGGCCATCCTCATGGCTCAGCCTCGAAACCTAGTGATGTCTGCCTGGGCCTGTGGCCTGACACATTTTGAATCAGGAGGGCCAGGAACAAGGGCCGAGAGTGGCCACCCTGGTGGGAATGGGGGAGGGGGATAGGCAGGGGCATGGCCAGCACAGTGTGCCTTTGGTGGCAGGGCTCTGGCCAGGGTCAGGGCTGTATACTCTGGAAGCCCAGGCCAGGGGGATGGGGAGCAGAGGTGTGGGCGGCCTAGCCCCCACCCACTCAGTCAGTCTTGGCAGGGGCATAGATTCTTAGCAACCTTTCAAACAAGTGTTCCTTCTTGTCCTCCTCCAAATCCTTACAATCTGAGTGTACTAAACTCATACCTGAAAAACCCATGGAATCCAAAATTCCCTGGGGCCTTTCCTTCTCAGGAGGCACTGGGCAAGATGGGGTGGACACCTGCCTAACAGATTAGCTGCTGAGTGATTGACCCTTGACAGTGCCAGCCCAGAATGGCCGGCTGTCTGCAGCTGGCAACTTTAGGGGGGCGTGGCTGGAGGGGTGGGTGCTGTGGTGAGCTTGTAGCCCATTGTGGGGTGGGGGCACTCCCCCTTGGGACCCCAGCAGGAGCAGACATTCCCTCTGGTGCCCATGCTGGCATTTTGCAGATGGGGTGGGAGGTCCAGGTGGCCGGAGGACAGATAGGCAGGAGCCAGACTCTGACTCGCTTCTGGAGTTTATTTTTCAGGATAAGCTATGGGGAGCGAGGACTTGGGTCTTGAGGAAGAAGCACGGCAAGAGGAGTATGGAGGGCCAGGTCACCTAGTTGGGAGAGCAGGACTCGGTGACGCAGGCAAACATCCTGACCCTCACAGGCACCTCTAGCATGGGCCTCCCTCCTGGGGGTCTCCAGGACCTTCTGGCTCGGTGCCCTGAGGTCTTAGAGAATGGAACCAGCAAGGAGTCCTCTGACATGACCGGTCTATCCCTTCTTGTCGTGTCCTCCACCCATTTGCCCACCCTGGTTCCCCAGAGGACCTCCTACCCTGACTCCAGGCCCTCCTGCCCCCCAGGAGTCAGAGACCTCTGCTGTAGGACCATCTCTGTAGTGGCGTCCTTCCCCTGTCTGCCCGGGACGTGGTACTTCACTCTTTCACCTACTTCCCCCAAGACCCCCATGGCCTATTCTAGTGGTTAGGACAAGGTTTTCTTTCTAACAGTCACTCCTGGACTACTCAGGAAGCAGTGTCCTCTCCCCCAGTTGATGGGGAAGTGTATTGAATGAATAAGTGAACAAGCAGCTCTTACCTATGAAGCTGCCCACTGCTTGACTCTCTCCTCTACTCTTGCTCATTAATGCACTTATCTGCCAAAAAAGAAGCCCAGGAGCCATGATCAGTGCCCAGGCCTGGGCCCATTCCCCCACCTGGACTTTCTGCTAATGCTAGACTTTCCCCCTAATGCTGAAGAATCTCCCCAAGAGGCCCTGGGGAGGTGGTCTCAATTGACTTCCAAACTACGTACTCCATCTATGCCCCCTTACCAGCCCCTGCTCTTTAAAACAAAGGGGGTGGTCTTTCGCCACCTGTGTTACCCAGGAGTACCCCCTTTGCTTAATTGGGGACTTCTGTATTCTGAAAGCTGGCAGACCTGGGCACTAGGTACCATGGGGGAGGTGAGTCCTAGTAAAGGGGTCCCCAGGCAGAGGTGATGGAATTGCAGATAGACTGACCACCCGCTTCCAGCCTGCGTCCCCCCCCCGCCCCGCCCCGCTCCCATCAGAGGCCTGTCTAGCTCTAATCCGACAGTAATTCCCTCCACAGCAGATTAGCCCCCCTCACCAGGTTGGGGCAGAAAGACAATGCTATCCTCTGTGAAGCCCTGGGCTTTGCAAAAGCTGGTGAATTTCTTCTTCAGCTCAGCCTTCAGGGTCTGGGTGCGGCCTGGCAGAGGGAGGAGGAGCTGGCTTCAGTGGGGAAGGTGTCCATTCTGTCCCTTCCCCTGTGTTTTGGGGAGACCCCCTTGGGACTCTCCTTTGGGGTCAGGCTTCAGTCCTCTGCAGACCCCAGGCCATTCCAAGCTAAGTGGTCCCTAAGGGGGCCTGATGGGGTGAGGCACCTACTGTAGAGGGTGGCCATGCGGAAGTCCTGACCGGGACCCTGGATGCCCTCGCTGTACAGCAGTGCGTACTCCTTATAGTTGGTCTCCACCACTGAGACGGAGTGGGTGCTGCCCCAGCCTGGGAACCCAAGAGATGACCCTGGTTGGGACGCTTAGGTCCCAAACCCATGGCCTACCTGTATGTGCCGGAATGTTTGCAAGAGGGGCTCAGGCCCGCTACTGCCCAGGATGATCCTCCCTTTCCCCCTCTGGCTGCTTTTCTTGTTCCTCCAGAGTGTGGCCACCCGCCAGCACAGTTGAGGAATTGTGTCCCCAGACCAGAAGTCCTGAAGGGGGAAGGGCAGGAAACACACAGGACCTTGGCCAGAAGGGGAAGGAGGTAGGGTTCCCTGTGAGGAGCCATCCCGCCCCTTCACTGTGGGGAGTGAGGAGGCCCCGTGTCTTGGGGTGGGAACTGTGAAGAGGTGTGAGCAGGAGTTGGGGCCTGCCTGTGTGCCCCACCTGGGTAGCAGAGATGGCGAAAAATTCCACCTGGACAGGGGAAGGAGCTGGCAGAACCTGGGTGATCTCCAGAGAGAAGTCCCTCTGTCCCCCCACACCCAGGTGTGCATGTCGGACAGATTCAGGCTGAAGCCTGGCCTTGGGGGCAGGGGTAACTTTGGTGGAGCAGCCATCATGCCCCACCACCTCTGCGAAGGGGACTGCCCAGTCAGTGCCAGCAGGTGCCTTGTTGTGGGCCCACTCACGGGGACTGTGGTAGTTGTAGTAGCCAGGGCCCCCTGCGGGCTGCAGCAGCATGATCCGCGTCTCACACTGGTTTTTCCTGTGGACAGGTGACCCTCAAAGTCAGAGGTCAGGCCCCAGGATATCCCCAGACCACATGTGTTGGAGTCCTCTGTGTCCCAGAACCCGCTGCGCCCCTCAGTCCCACCTCAGGAAGGTGGAGGTGAGGTTGAGGCCACCGTCTTCAGAGGGGGTCACCACCGACTTGCACATGGACAGCACGTTCTTCTTCTCTCGGAACCAGCTGGAGTTGGAGGCTAAGCCCACGCTGAACCAGCGTCCCAGGAACTGCGGCGAACGGTCACATCCTGGTCGGCGGGAACCTTCCTGGCCCACCTGAGTGGGCATCCCTCCCTTCTCTCCCCTCCTCTCCCCCTCCATTCTGTAACCAAGCGGCCCACACCCCCGAAGGCCGAGGTCCCGCTGCACCCCTCCACGCCCAGTGCCTGGACCCGCGCTGGCCACGCCCGTTCCCCCTCCGCGGGGAGTCAGCCAAGCTCCTCCCTTCTCCCCAAAGAAGTCCCAGGTCCAGTCCAAGTCCCCGTCCTCTGGTGAGGCGACCAGCTAGTGGGCAGGGCGGGCGCCAGAGAGCGCCCCATTCCTGGTGGGGTCTGGGAAATCTTCCGCTGCCCCCGACCAGCCCCAGGGCGTCCAGGCGACGCTGGGGAGGGGCGCGCGGCGTTGCGCTCATGGGTAAGGCCATCTCCTCTCGTCCCCGGCCAGCTCCGCGCTGCGCCGGTGGTCGGTGGTCGGTGGTCGGCTGTGCTGTGCCTGTGCGGAGCGCGTCCCAGAGCGCACTGCGCTGTTCGGTACTAGAGGATGCACCATGGGACCCAGGGGGACCTGTGCCTGTGTGTGCCCTGGGCATCCTGTGCTTATGGGGGACAGTAGTTGAATGGTGTGGATGCTGTGTGGCCCACATGTCTGCAAGTACGGTCAGTGGAAGATGGTGAAATGCTGCTGCTTTAGGGAGGACCTTTCATGGTCAACCTCCTTGGGCAGCTGCCCAGCCCTCCTTCCAGCTCAGCTGGCTCAGGCCTCTGTCCTGCAAAAGCTCTGTGGGACTTAGCACCCTCTTCCCTGGGAGAAGACCTGGTCCTGAAAGTGCCGATTCCCAAAGCCCCTGTAACTGCCTTGGGCATGGGGCAGGGGACCCTCACCTTGTCCTGTTGGAAGTTGGGCTGCACAGAGTCCTGGCCCTGGGCCTGAGTCTGCACGACCCCCAGCAGGACCAGCCCCACCCACAGCATGCACAGAATGGCCATTCTCCTGGAGTGTGTCCTGAGTCTGAGGTCAGCAGTGCAGGCTGATCAAGGAAGCTGGCGGGCAGGAGGAGCAGAGGGCACTGAGGAGACCCCTATTTATGGACCAGGCTTGGCCTCCACCCAGGGCCTAAGGCCTGCCCACTGGAGGCTCGTGATGCTGGTGGTGGGGGAAGAGGGGGCTGATCCCAGCTGCAGCCTCATCTCCCACAGGGCTGCTTATGTAAGAGACAGGACTGGGCCCTGCTGCCCCATCCCTCTGAAGGCAGAGGTGAGGTAGAAGCTGCTGCATGGCTGGCCCTTTCTCCAATCCCAGAGACAACTGCCTGGAACCTTGCTCACCCCACTCTTGTTGGCAAACCACCTTCCCCCCAGCAGCTGAGATGGGGCACGGGTATGTGTCTTGGTGCTGCCCTGCCTCTGAGGCCGCTGGTCACTTCCCACCAGGGGCCAAAACCTTCCTCTCAAAAGCCATAGTCATCATTCCTTCTCCAAGTCTTTCTACTCCTGCAAGGAACATAAAGCCCCATTTGTACTTTGTGAATTTGGTCCTGAAAGGCCAGCAGGCCAGGTGCTGATGAGAAGATTATGCCAAGATAAAGAAATTTGATCTGGGGCCGGGGATATGGCTCAAGTATGGCTCAAGTAGTACAGTGTTTGCCTAGCATTCCAGAGGCCATGGGTTCAATCTCCAGAACAACAAAACAGGAAGAAAGAAAAAAGGAAGGAAGGAAGGAAGGAAGGAAGGAAGAAGAGAGGGAGGGAGGGAGGAAAGAAGAAAAGAAACTTGATCTATACTGCAGTGGGCTCAAGCACTGGATGTGCTGAGCAGAGCTTCCCCCATGACCAGTGTTGGGGAAAGAAATCAGGAGTGGATGGGTCAGTGGGATGCAAGGGGTTGCAGCTTGCAGCTTCTTCCTGGTTTCTGTGGCCTAACTGGCTGGTGACCCAAGGGTCATGGAAGGGAGGCTGGCATGTACTACCTTTTGCCCCCCACTTCTGTGGCCCAGGGGTGGAGGGTCCTGAGGTGTAAGTTTAGTTGACATTTGACATCAACAGCTGGGTAGTCAGTGCTGGGATCTCTTGCTGTTGGGGTGACTGGGCAGAGAATGGTGTGAGGGAGTAGGATCCGGAGTCAGTATGCTCCAGAGAGGAATGTGAGACACCACCCCTCCACCTGGTCTCCCATCAGCCCCTGCTCAGAGCAGCCCTGTGCTCTGCTCACTTGGGCCCATTCATGCCCTGTGGGGGAGAGGTCTGTCAGAACAGGCAGGGGTAGGGGGACCCACCCTTGGGACCCTACTCTGCCCCAGGCTGGCTCAGCAGCTGATTTGTGGTGGTGGTGGTGGTGGTGTTCTCCAGAGTGGAGCAATGGAGGGGCAGAGGACAGGGACAGGAGGAGGACTGGGGAAGAAGTTCTGGGGGCATCATTTCCACCTAGTTTTACCAGCTGAGTCCTGGCTGTCTTCAGCCCTGGGGAGTCCTGTGGGTGGGATAAGGATAACAGCCATGGACATAATTTGGGACTAAGGAACTGGGCACCTAGGGCAACTACTGGGCCTGAGGGTGGAGTGGCAGGTAAGATGTCCACTCAAGAACTCTGACTTATGGGCACACCTGGCACCTACTGAGGGCCACGGATTAAACCTTTTCTTGAGTCCGGGAAGGGAAGTGAAGTTGCCAGACTCCAGCTGAGACACTGGCAATATTTGTGTCCCTCTCTCCCTCAGTGGGTACTGTGCAAAATGGAGACCAGGGGCAGAGGAGGCATGGGGACCCCTTTGCACACACTGTCCCTTCCCTTTCCTCTGAGTCAGCCCTGTATGCAGTCAACAGTTCCATGCTGAACGAGGGGAACTCCCTGTCCTGCAGGAGCTCCTGCTCTGGCCTGAGCTGGAAGGTGAGGTAGGGTCTCACTAGAAGCACTGCTTTTTCCTGGCAGATGTACCCTGCTTACTGGTTCTCAGAAGGACAAAGGAAGGTGAAGTGGCTGAGAATTGGACATCTGCTTTGAGCAGACAGCCAAATGCCTGCCCTCCCAAGAGCCCATGGAAGATGCCTGCACAGGACGAGATGACCTGAGTCCTCCAATCCCACTTGGCCTGAGGTCAGCCCCTCCCCTTCTCCAGGCCCATTGCAGCACCCAGGCCACCCTGCACACAGTCCAGGCCCGGCCTCCTGGGACCAATGACAGAGACCCTCAGCTGCCCCTTGAGCCGCAGATGGGCTATTGCCAGATTTCAGCCAGGGCTGCTCAGAGGTGAGGCCCAGATGCTCTGGACCCCAGCTGCTTTGGATCAAGGGAAATGCCAAGTTATAACCATCACCTTGAGAGGTCCTGAAGCCATCTCCTGCCTCTGGCCCAAGGCCTTGGCTCCCAGGCACAGTCCCAGCCTTGTCCTACAGGGAAGCAGTTTCCTCGCTGGAGTCTCCTGGGGTCGGGGAGACAGTGATGAGTCCAGCCCCCAGCAGTGTCCCAGAGATGATTTGTTCTCAACTGCTGAGGTTGCCTTAACTTCTGGTGGGACCTGAGCCTGTCTGCTGGCTTTGAGAGACTCACTAGGGCCATGGGCCTTGCCCCAAATCTTCCTGTGGTAGCAGTCTATGGGGAGGAGCTTTGGCAGAGTGTGGAGCAATGGGTAGGGGCAGCCCTTGGACCCCACTTGTTCAAACCTGCTCAGCCTTACACACCTGCCCAGAAATGCTCTTGCTAGGATTTTAAGTAGGGGAGGTACTCTGAGCCATCAAGAATCTGCTGAGTGGAATATTCTCAGCCTAGGAAGACCAGGGTCCAGGGCGAAGAGGGCTGGTCCCTCTGCATAAAGGGAACCTTCTCTTGATACACGTATTTTTTTAAGTTCAAGGAAGGAGAGGCACGTTGGTATTTTCTCATTTCAGGTGAGTATTAATGACTTATTTGTACACAATATTTTACACATAACCCACTGGGTTCCCTCATAGATAGCCTTACACAACTATCTTTGTAGTGGAAACCAGTTTCAGTACTGGATCCCATCAATTTCTACTTTGAGTCTATCTTCTTGAAGCTAGTCAAGGGCAAGGGGCCACTGTGATTTAATGAGGCTCTGTGGGCAGCACCACAGGCTGTCTCTGAGTCTCTGCCCAAACCCACAGCCTGGGCCTCTCCCAGCCTATCACTGACCCGACTGTGCTGGGTTAGCCTCTTCTGACACTGGAGACAGCTGCCTGTACACCCATGTTTTCAGGCAGCCTGCAGCCTGTCCCAGCACAGCCCTGGAAGGTGAGCCAGACCAGGAATAGGGAGCAGGCAGGAGGGTTGGAATGAGTTCTGTCCCTGGATTTGAGGCTGCTATTGTCACCAAACAGGCCTACCTACAGCTCGGGAGAGGAAGACTGGGCCGCTGTCACTTGAGGGCAGAGCATCTTCTGGTGGCTCCTATGAAGGGGCATCCAGCAAGCCCCAGGGCTATGGAGAGGGGCTGGCCTGGCCCCCCACAGCTCATGGATATCCACACTGCTCCGTGGCCAGAGCACACAGTGTTAGGATGACGGAGCACATGGCACTGCAGATGTCTGAGGCCTGCTGTGCTTCAGAGGTGTCCAGCCCAATCATAACTGATCTGGTACAGCACTGCCCTCCACCTGCTTGGGGACTGACAAGAGGTCACTAGGAAGCAGGGGCTTGCCAGGGACCCTCCCAGGGGGTCTACAGGCCCTGTGTCCTCACGAAGCAGCCACATAGGGGCCCTCCTTACGCAGGCAGGGCACCTCCTGCCCCTCCTCACAAAGACTCTAAGGAGAAAGGGGCGTTCCAGGGGAGTGGCTTGCTCCTCTAGGGCTGGAGTGGGGCCTCCTGATTCACGCTGGCTGGTCTCCAGTGTCTCCTTGGCTCTTGTGTGAACAACTCAGGGCAGCCACAGGGGCCTGGCTTTTGATCACAGTATGTTCCTGAGATAGAAGCCCTGCCTTTTGCTCTGGGGTCCCAGGTGACCCCAGGGGGACAGGGCCACAGCACTGGGCAGGCCTGGGGTGTGTGTAGTGGGGGTGACTGGGCACCAGGCTCTGCCCTCCAGTGTCACAGTGGTCAAGAACAGTTGGAACCTGCTCCTCTGTTACTAACTATTTATTTCATATGGAACAGAGAGGGGCATAAGTCAGGCCCTGGGTCCCAGCTTGCCTTTCCATAAGTCAGGCTGGGCCATGTAGTAGGCCTGGGTTGGGAAGATGGTCCAGCTCGGAGGGCATCCATTTTGTACTCGAGGAGAGGAGAGAAGAGAGAGTCAGGCAAACGGGAGAGGCTGGAGTCAGTGAGGCCTGGTTGTGGGGGAGAGTGGAAGACAAAGCTGGAGGGGGAGTTGGAGTCCTAGGGGAAGAGAAAAAGGGTAGACTGCCACTTCGCTCTCTCTGTGAATTCCAGCACAGGATCCTGGGAGCCCCCAGCACTGCCCAGAACCCCCATCAGTCATATTCACAGCTCACACAGGACTCGGTCACACTCTGCCGTGGGAACAGCACTGCTTAGAGGGCTCAGGGGCCCAGTGCACAATTGCATGATCCCTGACCTCCAAGGCCCCTGCCCTACCCACCAGGGCTAGTTCCGTAACTGCAGATGGAGGGGGCAGGACAGGGGACCTGGCTGGGGGTTCAGGAAGAGATGACATAGGACAGGGAACCTGGGTGGGGGCAGGGAGGGGAGGGGATGGCACAGGACAGGGGACCCAGAGGTTGGAGGGGGCACATTTTGGGCTGCAGGTGCATCTTCCACACCAGATCCTGGTACAGTTATGAGGCCCAGGCTTTGGACCTTCTCATGGCCTTTTCCCTTCTGAAGCCCTAATTCCAGTTCTTCACTTTCAATTACTTTTCACACATGCGAGACCTTGTCAGCTTCAGGCTGCAGAGGCCCACCTCCCACTTCCTGAGTCCCTTGGCCTGTGTTCTTCCGTCTTCCAAGTGGGCCCCTCCTGCCTGCTTTAGCCCCCTGCTGGGTCCTGGCTTATCCATCCCAGAGCCCTCTCTGTCTCCAAAATGAGGCAGAAAAGCTGTTTTCTCCACAGTACTAACAACCCTTTC